GAGGAGCAAGGAGGAGGGAGAAGGCAACGGAGGCAGCTGACTAGGGCACCAGGAAGATAAGGGACATGTATAATAATTATGACCGTCATCCGCTCAGAAAAGGGTGATATGCACTATATACACCCAAAGTATACATAAAGGCACCACAGTCTCTAATGACTACAAACCCCACCAAGTCATACTGGTAGTAAGAGACCATGTGATCTGCGCTGCCTAGCCATCAGGTCACACAAGGGAGTCTGGGAGCAGAAGTTTTGTATTGGGATGGGAAGTCCGTTCCCTAGCACAGCCCTCGTCTCATGTCACAGGCCTCTCCTCTTGTGGCAGTGTCTAACTGCCGTCTGTGCTGGCCTAGCTCCTCCCTAAATAATCTTTTACGTAGCTGCCAGGGGAGCTGGGGCTGCTGATATCACATCCAAGATGGCGGCCACCCAGCAGCAATTTTTGATGCTTTTAGAGGTCTGCACAAGGGAGACTTTTACAGGTTAATAACACGAATGCTCACGTGATCTTATAGAAACATGGGTTGTTGAAATGAATAGTGTGGTGACATGCTCTCTTTAACTGGTGATAATAACGTGATTGGATTATGCCGACATGTGACCTAATGACAGGTCCTCTTTAAAAATCCATTGATTTTCTCTCTGGAGGCTGCAGGATGGGGCGCGCAGGCAACTGCAGCACCTGGCAGGAAAGGATCGGGATTGGCTAATACAGGCATGCCATGTATCAGGATAGGGGAAGGGGCGGAGCTCTCACCGATGTAGTAATACGTGAAGCACATCGTCATCAGGTTCTTGGCAGGACCAAAATCATCCATCTGGTGACATCTAGAGGAAGCAGAAGAGAGGAGAGGGGGGGGTCAGTCCGGGGCGAATCATTACCCCACCGCGAGCCCCCCCAGAATGGACGCACTTACTCAAACAGGACCACCGCGAAGGACTGCACCAGCCGGTAGAAGGTCTGCTCCGAGACGCACTTCGAATTGCAGCGCTGGAGGCGGAGAATTCAGATAAGGAAACAGTATAGCAAAAAGTCTCCCCTCCCCCAGTGATCAGTCTGCTGCAGGCAAGAGGAAGCATTTCCTCAGTCTCCCCCAGTACTCAGACTGCAGCATTGTAACTTTGTATCCAGCCACAAGGTGAGAGGATGCAGCAGGGGCTGATGTGTTTTGGACATTTGTGAACACAGCCAAGGACTGCACAGGTACCGGGATTTACATGACTGTGGCATTACTGAGCCGGCATCTCAGTCCAGGAAGTAGATGGTGACCCTGGGTGATGCCTGAACAAAGATGGTGCCGTCCTTCTAGAGAGGAATATGGGGGGGGGGGGGGGGGAAGG